GTGAAATCACTATGTATGCACTAATATATATATATAGCTAGTAATTATATCATTAGAATTCTTTCTGTGGGCACTTTATCTGTAGAAGGAAATGTGTAATGTGTAATATATTTCTTTTACGAAAATAGGCTCATAGTTAAAATATGTAATGTTTTGCCAGGTTTGCTAATATATCTTAGTGGTTACATATTATTTCAAATTCAATATATGCTATTTGTTTTTTCCTTAGTGTTGAAACACACTGTATTCAGTTATTGTTTAGTGTGACAATAAACATTATTTTCCATAATCTATGTGCTGAAGCTTTTTGAGTTTTCTACTTGCAACTTTATCCATTCCCTCCTTGTCTGCTATGTAGCTTCAACCTAAACATTCCAGTGAAAATGTTTTAGATTAATTCACCAGTGGCATCCATCTTAGTGAATGATATTTTCATTCACACAGTCCCAAAAGCCAACATCTAATACTTGATTTTCTTTCTTCTCTTAGGTTCAGTCTGTCATCAAATTTTGTTAATCTCAATTCCAAAGTGTACCATTATTCTGTCCTCTTTCTCTGTTCACACCATCAGTAGCCTATTATATACTTGGCATATTTTTCCTGCTCCTCTCCTCCTACCTAGCATTTAAATGCTGATATTTCAAGCTTTGTCTTGGGTCTTCTTTTCTTCCACCATTCTACATGACTTCCATTCTTGCTTCCTGTGGTTGACAATGCTCTATGATGATGTCTAAGATTCCTGCATCCGTGGTGTTTATGCCCTGTATAATTTGTCCTCCTTTTGTTTACGTGGAATCTCTAAATATCAAGGGATGGTCACTTCCTTCATCAGGTCTTGTTATGTGACAACGTATAAAGGCTCTGTTGAAGCATACTGAAAAGAGATTATTCTGCTGGCTTTGAAATAGAAAGCTTCTGTGTTGTGAGAGGACTGTGATATAGATTTTAAAGCAGGCATTGGTAACTGAGAGCCAGCCCAACTGACTGCCGGCAAGAACACAGACTTCAGTCCTACAACCACAGGAACTGAGTTCTGCCAGCATTCAGGGAGCTGTACGATCTCATCCCTGTTGAATCAGCTGACACTGAATTCAGCCTGTGGGGACTCAGGTAAGAGAACCAGTTAACTTATACCTTAGCTCTTGACCAGCAGAAACTGTAAAATGTAGCATTTAGGTTTTTTTAAGATAGTAAATTTGGGGTGATTTGTTATGCAGCAATAGAAAGTAATACCTCATAACCATTCTGAATACAGGAGAAATTAAAAACCCTTTAATGTCATTATAGAACAACCCTTGACAGTCTGTAAGTCACTCCATCAATTAGGTCCCTCTCTGCCTGGACAAGTACACCTCAAGCATTCTTTCACTTGGCCTTTCCTCTGGCTATAGAAGATTTCTTACAGTTCCTACAACATGACATTTGCGTCCTAATGTGCCTCTTTTAGGTAGTTTCTGAGGTAAGTACTCTTTCCTACGGACTCCCCCGCCTCGCTCCTATTTCTCTAGATAAAGCGTATTATCTCTTCATGAAGTAATAGTCATTTTTTACCATTTTAAAGCTTGTTTTCATTTTAAGTTTATCTGGCTACACTGTGAGATCCATAAGGGCAAGGAAAAAAGTCATTTTGTTTTCTGTGGTCACTAGCAATAGTCTCTGGAATGTACAGAAAATCAAGAAAATTTGAGGGAATAACTATTCTTGGATATTAACACTTTTGGAAATAAAAATGCTGGTAAACAGTATGCACATTTTACCAACTTTATTTGACACATTTATATTTTATATATTTAAGCTGTATGGTATAATTTTGATCTATGTATATATTGTAAAGTCATTATTATAATTAACAGCTCCATCAGTTCATAGAGTCGCTTTTCTGTGGTGACAATATTTGAACTCTGCTTCCTTAGCAATTTCAAGTATACATTATTATTAACTACAGTCACTGTGTTGTACATCAAATCTCAAGAATTTAAAAACATTTGATATGTGCTTTTAAATTATCCAGACTGTATCAATTGAAACTCTGGCCTGTAAAGTGTAAGGCCATCCAGTTACTAACACTTTTATTTGCTTTGCGGGTATTATCTTTAATATAAATCGTTCCTAATTTATGGTATTATTTTGACTTCCACTTTACAAGTGTTGATCTTTTCTGTGTATTTATTGTTCACTTTTTATTCTATACATTTTCTATTTATTTCTTATTTTTCTATTGTGATATTTTTAATTTTGATTTCTCAGGCCTTTCAGTTATTGAGGCTAGTTCTTAATGTGATATTTTGGACGTTTTATAGTTTCTCATATTTTAAGTTTTTTTAATGTACAGAGATTTTAAGATTTTATGCTTTCTTATCCTCTGTCCTCACTGATCTACTGAAATCTTTCTTACTAAAACTACCTGTGATTCTGTGGATGTTATTTCATATGTACATTTTTAAGGTTTTATTTTATTTCATATATTCAGCTAGGAACAAAACATGTGGATCATAATTTAAATATTTGGTACACAGTAATTTGTAGCATCTATGCCATTTCTGAATTATAGGTTTAGATTTATTGAATTCTAAATGAAATTAAATGCTACTTAAATGAATTTGTTTTTGATAAAATTAAATTCAAATCATTAGATAGAGTTCTTTAGCAAATCCCTGTGGTGTTTTTGATTATATAAATGCATCAAATATGGTGTGAAATATATGCTGTACCTGAGCCAGAAATAAACTGTCCCTAGAAATTGAAAGTCAGAAATATAGGAGGCCAAGCAGGTGTCAGAAATGTGGAGCTATGAAAGAATATTTTAGTGTTCCTAGGGCTGTCCTAAGAAAGTAGTACACACTGGGTAAAACCCAGAAATGTATTATCTGCTCTAGAGGGTAGAAATCCTGAGTCAGAGTGGTGACAGGCCATACTCCCTCTGAATCCTCTAGGGGCAGATCTTTTATTACTTCCTCTGCTTCTGAAAGTCTCAGACATTCCTTCCTGTGTGGCAGCATAACTCCAATCTCTGCTTCCAGATTCTGTGTCTTTGTGTTTACACTATTTTGTTCTTATAAGGATATCATCTTGATTTAATTACATGTACAAAGATCCTATTACCAAATAAGGTTGCATCTATAAGTACTAAAATGGGGACTTGAAGTTACCATTTTGGGAGACAATTCAGCCCTTAGCAGATGTGAACCAAGTGAGGAAGAAAGAGCTGTTATGCAAGGTTTCTAGAGACATAGGCAAAATCCCAAGACCTAAGTTGACAAGAGAGTCTGGTAGTGATTAGTAGGGTCAGATAAATCATCCTGGCAAAGAGAAAGTTTGTGGTTTAAAAAAAAGGCTAGGAAATTTTTCCATGAAATTTCTCATAATTCTATATGGAAACTTAGGTAGATATTTTAATTGATTATTTGCATATGATGATTTGCTTCTAGGAGTAAGGTGATGCTAATGGCAAAAAGCAGTTTATTATGACAATTTTGTTCATGATTAAGAAAGATCAAGTTCTTATTTCTAGAATTTATTTATAATTTTAATTGACCCATAATAATTGTACAACTAGAGTTATTTTTATTTCAATCATATGTCCTCTAATTGCATTCAATAAGTATTCATTGATCACCACCACAAGACTCAATCTGTTTTAGGGGCTGGGAAAAAGAATGTCCTTTTTTTGTCCTATTGTTTTCCTGTTGTTATCCAACTATTTGTTGGGCTAAGGTAAATTTAGGTTGCTATAACAAGTATGCCATAGACTGGTTGGTTTAAACAACATTTGTTTCTCAGTGTTCTGGCAACCATGTAGCATAAGATCAAAGTGCCAATAGATCTGTATCTGGTGAGGGCTCATTTGTAGATGGTTGTATTTTAGAAGGTTCCACCTCTAGATGCCATAACATCAGGAGTTAGGCATCAACACAGGAATTTGGGGGAAGGCATACAGATATTCAATCCCTGTAACAAATGCATATCAAACAAGGATAATTATTTAATTTACATTATGTTTTGTGCGGTAACATAGTACAAAAGTTTAAAAATATTCCCAGATTAATAAAATCACAATTATTTTTAGCAAATATTTATTATTTGGGGCCTCGCAATTTAATTTTAAAAGTCTCTTTTTTCCTCTTTTACTTTCAATGACTAACAAGGCTCTTTTTCATCTTTTAACCGATACATCTTTCTGGTAGAATTCTTGAGTGCTATGATTTAAAGTTTTACCAATATTTCAAATCTGATATAATTACATCTACATTCTGCTTAACATAGGTGCTTTCTTTTTCAAAGTCTCCATTTAAAATTTTTTGTCTTCATTTTGGCATTCACTCCCATTTGGTTATTCAGCACAGTCTGTACTGATTGCCACCAAAGATATATTTTATTTAACCAGGCACATTAATTTAGACTCAGCTGTGTTATACTTGGAAAATTTTGGCAGAACTTTCTGAGGTAGTTAAAAATCAAATCAAAGTATCTCCAGCTGCTTGAGAAGCAAAGCATAATTTTTATATTTTGATGGTAGGCTGTTATGATCACTGAAGGTCAAAGATATAGGAGAAGAGCTTACATGGAGGTAGGCTGCAGAATCTTAGTTTTTCAAACAGAATTACCTTCTCTTCCAGTTGTATAAACTTACACTGATAGAATATTCCCTCACATGTATTATCAGTTGAAAACAAGCTGCAGAGTTCTGCATTGCAACTGTCTTTGATAATAGAAAGCAAAGAACAGAACTGAAAATTTCAAAACATTAACTTTCACAATCACAAAGTGGCATTACTAGAATTTACCTGATATTTCTTTGGTAGGCAAACACTTTTTCTAGCAATTTGTTTCAAAAAGTAGAAGTGTTACTTGCAGCCATTGACCATAAACATACCCCAAGTTAAAAGTGCTGGATATATAACTGGTGGAACTTTGTAAGGAGAAGTGGTTGTGATGTCACAGACCCTTGAGAGAAACTTCTAAAAGTAAGATTTAGTTAGAACAGAGACAAACAAGAAATGTGATAACCGAATAAGATGGGATCCAACAAGAGCATACTACAGAATGTAATAGTTTGTGAATGACTTTTTCCTAAGGTTGTCAATAGAACAGCTCTTAATGAAGGAAGGGAAATGCTTAATCACCTGGTACATCTATGACTTTTGATGATTAATAAGTTTGAAATTAATCATGAAGGAAATGGAAGAAGTTAATGAACCTGATCAGCCTATCTCAGGAGGGAGGCACGAAATTCGAAAGAGAAGGTGCCCCAGCCAACCAATGGTAGACAAATCTCAGCAAACTGAAATGACAGAGAAAAAGAGACCCACTGCCACACCACCATCATCTGGCCCCAAAGCTACCATCAGTATTGGCAATATTCCTGCAAGCAAAGGCAGCTACTCTGCCAAAGAGTATGAATCTCTTAGAATATCTTCTCAACTTCAGCAAACTTGGACAAAGAGAAAGCATGGGCAGGAAATGGTTAATAAATCTCTGCAGACAGACACCATCAGAAAAGAGAAAAAAGAAATCAATTTAGTTGATGAAACAGTGGTACCGGAAGAAAAGCCAGCAGGTATTGGGGAAGTGGCCTCTGATTTACCACAGTATGTTCAGGAAGTAGAAATTCCAACAAGCAAACCCTGTTTAGTTCAGTCAAAAGTAGACAGATCTCAGCAGACCAGCTGTACTGGAGACGTGCTGAAAATTCCCCAAGTAGAAAAAATTGACAAGGAACAACAGACATCATTTAGTGAGTTGGAAGTAAGGGTCGCTTCTAGGCCAAGTAGTTCTTTTACAAAATCAAAGAAAGGTGCCCAGAAAGAGAAATCCTCAGGAAATATTTTTGTTAGTGAACACCCTGAATTTCAAACAGAACCAAGTAGCCGTGAAGAAATTAGGCAGAAAAGTCTTGACAGAGCTTCATTTACTCAGGAGACTGAAAAAAGATGCTCCTGCAGTTTTAGAAGATGAGTCTAGCCTAGAGGCAACCACACCTGCTGAAGAGGATTCCTTTGTTAAAAAAGGGGCTTCTGCTGAAATACAGGTGGAAGTACAGCCTTCCATTGCAGCAGAGAACCCTGCTGAAGTGCAGCCCCGACCAGCTGAAGAGGCCACAGTTAAAGCAAAGCCCAGCCTTGTTGAGGAGACCTCTGTCCAAGTGCAGCCTCCAGCTGAAGAGAGGCCTGTGGCCAACACAGCCGCTAGAATGGTAGAGGCCTCTGAGGAAGTACAGGCTCAGTCAACTAAAGGGCTGCCTTTAGTAGAGTCTCCTATTGAAATCCAGCCTCCGCTAGTGGAAGAGACCCTTTTACAAGTAGGGTATCCACTAACTAAAGCTCTTCCTTCTGAAATTCAGCTTTCGCTGGCAGAAGAGGCTCCAGTTGAAGTGTTGCCTTCAATAGCCGAGGATGCCAATGAAGAAGCTTTAGCTAATCTAGAGCTCACTACCATGGTTGAAGAGAACCCTGCTGAAGGTCAGCCTTCATTAGCTAAAGAGGCTCCTGCAGAAGAGCTGCTGGCTAAAATTCAGCCTCCATCAGCTGAGGAGGGCCCTATAGGAGAGGCCTCAGGTGAATTTCAGTCTCCAGGATTTGAGAAGGCTCCTGCAGAAGATGCTCCTGTTCAAGTTCAGTCTCAGCCAAGTGAAGAATCTCCTGAAGAAGAGGCCCCTCCTCAAGTGCAGTCTCCACCAGCTGATGAGCCTCCTGCAGAAGAGGCTCCTGCTGAAATTCAGAGTCAAAAGAGTCAACAAGCTGAAGATGCTCCTGCAGAAGAAGCCCCTGCTAAGGTTCAGTCTCCACCAGTTGATGAGGCACCTACAGTAGAGGCGCCTGCTGAAATACAAAGTCAACCAGCTGAGAAGGCTCCTGCAAAAGACACCTTTGTTCAAGTTCAGTCTACAACTTCTGATGAGACTCCTACGGAAGAGGCCCCTGATCAAGTGCAGATTCTACCCACTGAGAAGTCCCTTCCTGAAGTCCAGTCTCCACTCGCTGAGGAGGCACCTATAGAAAAGGCCACTGATCAAGTTCATTTTCCACCAATTGACGAGTCACCTACAGAAGAGGCCCCTGCTGAAGTTCAGAGCCAACCAGCTGACAGATCTCCTGCAGCAGAGCCCCCTGCTCAAGTGCAGTCTTCGTCAGCTAATGATGCTCCTGTAGAAGAGGCCCCTGCTCAAGTGCAGTCTCCGCGAGTTGATGAGGCGCCTACAGAAGAGGCCCCTGCTGAAATTCAGAGTCAACCAGCTGAGAAGACTCCTGCAAAAGAGGCCCCCTCTGAAGTCCAGTATCTACCTTCTGGTGAGGCACCTGCAGAAAAGTCCTTCCATGCCATTTGGTCTCCCATAGATGAGGAGGTCTCTGCAGAATTTTATTCTTCATCAGTTGAAGAGACTTCTATAGAAAAGGTCCCAGCTGAAGTTCAGCCTACTCCAGTTGAGGGAATCTCTGAAAAAGAGGCCCCTCTTGAAGTTCAGTCTCCACCATTAAGACAAGGCTCCTACGGAAGAGATCCCTTCTGAGGTTCAGCTCTTATCAGCTTAGGGAGCTCCTGCAAAAGAGACCTCTGCTAAAGTTTGAGCTCTACCAGCTGAGGGCTTCTGAAGAGGCCCTTGCTGATATGCATGCTTTATTCACTGATGCAGTTCCTACTGAAGAATTTCCTATGCATGAGATGTCAGCTGAAATTTCATCTTCATCATCTGAACAAGCCCCCCTGCATGTGATGCTATAGCAGAGAATATCTCTACTGAATCTTAATCTTATTGGGTAGCAGGTGCCTCAGAGAAAACATTGGGGTCATTTGCTTTAAAAAAGTGTTACAAAATTTGAATAAATGCTTCCTATTCCTCAAGATGTATGTAATGATAAGAACAAGCAGGTTTCCACTATTGCAATAGAAGGTATCATCCGAGTAAAATTAAAAACCTCCTGAGCTGAAGTCAGGTCCTAACTAAATAAGAAATCAGAGGCTGGGAGGTCCTAGAAGTACTTTCTTTAGGAAAGCGTACACATCTGAAAAAAACTTTGAGATTCAATAAGTGAAGGGGAATCTCAAGAGCAGGCATGCAAGTTGGGAAATAATTATAATGGTTTAAAGTGACTTGAGTTATTTTCATTCAGCTGTGCAGCATGTAACATAACTCTTTTTAAAAGTAAGTTTATGCTTGAAGTCATCACTTGAGATAACCTTTGTACAGTAGACCTATCGACAATGATAATTACTCTAAAGTCATGTGTTTTCCTCTGCTCTTTGTAAGTATGTACAGCTTCTACTGGAAATGCCACTTTGTGTCACACATCTACTTTACATCCCTTGGGCTTTATTCACATATGAATTCATATAAACTTACATGGTGTTCTCTTTGTCCTTGTCATAACTCACATTTCTCATTATCTTTCCATCCAGTTCCTTCTGAGACTAGCATTATTCTCCTGGTTTCAGTGTAAGGATTCTTCCCTATCTTCTTGCATACTTTGCCACTCTTTTATAAAAATTAACTTTATTGGTACATTTTAGGTATGCAATATGACATTCATCATTGGAAATTTGTACTTTTACATAATGTGTCTTGGTTCTTATTTTTTCCCCATTCTGCTGCCCTCCCTTCAACCCCTCCACTCTGTCCTATTTATAAAGACTTTTTTTCCATTTTTTCCTTTTCTCGTTTTCCATTCCCTTCTTCCCTTTCACTAACTCCTGCATATTTTATATTTCCATGTCTGGACAAGGAAACTTGCTTCCTTCATAAAAAATATTCATTTCAAAGAAATTAAGATGTCATAGGAAGTATTTTAAAGGAATGTGAATATAAAGAAAAATATTTTTTCAAATAATTATCTTCTAGTATATACTATTGACATTTTTAAAGAGAAAGTTTAACAATCCCGTAAATATTCTAAGATGTCTGATATTAAAAGAGTCTAGGTATCTACAATTATTAAAACTTTTGGGAAAATAGTTTGCATGCCTACAAATCAGTTGCAGTGTGCTGAAATGTTGAGATTCTCTTGAATTTTAAAAAATAGTGCACTTCTCTGTTTAAAGAAAACTCAGAGAATAATTTTTTATTAAGTTTATTGGTACATTTTAGGTATACAGTACACTTACACTTATTATTGGGATCTTGTACCTTTACGTGATGTATCTTGGTTCTCATTTTTTCCCCATACCTATGCCCTCCCTTCCTCCCCTCCACCCTCCCCTATTTACTAAGACTTTGTTTCCATTTTTTCCCTTATCTAATATTTTTTTCTATTCCCTTTTTACCTTTCTCCTACCCCTCCCACTTCCTCTACTGTTTTAGAACTTTTCTTCCTATTACATAATATAAATTATATATTTTGATCCTCATTCACACTTTTAGTTTTTCACACCAGGGAAACTTTGGTATTTACACATGTGTAACTTATCAACTTCACTTAAGAGTATGGCCTCAATGTACATTGACTTAGCTATGAATATGTATAGTTTCTAATTCTTTATGGCTGAGTAGTATTCCATTTTATAAAAAAACACACTTTTTCCAGTCTTAAATTGATGGGCATTTGGACTGTTTCCAAATATAGCTATTAGAAAATGTGCCACTATAAACCTGGGTGAGCATATATCGCTGAGGTGTGATTTTTTAAAATTCTTTTGGGAAGATACCCAGCAGAGGAACAGCTGAGTCAAATAGGACTTCTAATTCTACTTGTTTGAGGTATCTCCAAATTGATTCCCAGTGGTTGCACCAGTCTGCACTCCCACGAACAATGAAGCAGGTTTCCTATCTCCCCACAACGTTGCCAGCAGTTGTTATTGGTTGATTTCTTGATAGTGGCCATTCTTTCTGGGGTGAGATGGAATCTGTGTTGTTTACATCGGCATCTCTTGAATGAACAGTGATGCTGAACATTTTTAAATATATTTATTTACTGCTTTTCTGTGTCAGAGATGCCCACTTTTTTGGGTCTTTAAATGGTGGGGGTCTGATTTTTTTGAGTTCTTTATATATTATGGATAGTAGATCTTTGAGGAACAGCTGGTAAATATTTTTTTTCCCACATTGTGGGATATCTCTTAGCTCTGCTTGTGATTTCTCTGGCAGTGCAAAAGCTTTTTAAAAAAATGAAATCCCAATTGTTAATTCTTTGTGTTAGTTCCCGTGATACTGAGGATTTGTTCATAAAGTCTTTTCCTATGCCAATATCTTTGAGAATCCTACCTAAATGCAGCAAACTTCCAGCAAGTTTAGTGTTTCTGTTTTAATATTTAGATCTTTAATCCACTTGGATTTTAGTTTAGTGCATGGTGAAAGATACAGTTCTAGTTTTAATCTTTGACAAGTTGAAACCCAGTTTTCCAACACCATTTATTAAAGAGGTCATCTTTACTACAGTGAGGGTGGTTGACTCCTTTGTCAAAGATGAGGTAGCTGAGTGTGTCTGGAGTTGTTTCTGCATCTTCCAATCTATTTCACTGATCCTTGAATCTGTTTCTTTGTCAGTACTGTGCTGTATTTATCACAGAGGCTTTGTAGTATAGTTGCAGGTTGGGGATTGTGATACCTCCTGCTATGTTTCTGTTGCATAGAATTGCTTTTATTATTCTAGGTCTCTTCTGATTCTAAATTAATTTTTGTATTGTTTTCTGTAGTTCTGTGAAATATACTGTGGGATTTCAATTGGGATTGCATTGAATCTGTATAGCAGTTTTAGAAGCATGGCCATTTTCACTATATTGGTTCTTTCTACCCAGGAACAAGGGATGTCTTTCCATTTTCTTATATCCTCTTCAATCTCTTTTTTTCAGTGTTATAGTTCTCAGTGTAGAAGTCTTTTGTTTCCTTTGTTAGATGTATTCCTAGATATTTCATTTTTTTGGATGCTATAAAGTATTATTTCCCTGATTTCACTCTCAGTGATTCTGTTATTTGTGTTCAAGAAATATATTAATTTTTAGGTATTTACCTGTATCCAGCTACTTTACTGAATCTGTCAGTTAACTCTAGAAGTCTTTTGGCAGTTTTTTTGGGTCTTCAATATAGAGAGGTGATAGTGGACATCTTTGTCTTGTTTCTAATTTTAGCATGAAGGTCTTCGAAATTTGACCATTTAGCATGATGTTGGCTTTTGCTTTTTCATAGATAGACTTTATCAAGTTAGATAAAGACCATCTATTCCAATTTTCTATAGGGTTTTTAAAAAAATCATGAATGGGTGTTGAATTTTGTCAAATGCTTTTTCTGCATTATTGAGATGATCATATGGTTTTTGTACTTGACCCTATTAATACAGTTTGCTGCATTTATTGATTTACATATGTTGAAGTATCCTTGCATCCCTGGAATAAATGCAAGTTGGTCAGACTGTATAATCTTTTCATGACCCTCTGTATTAAGTTTGCCAGTATCTTATTGAGGATTTTTGCATCTATGTTCACTAGGAAGATTGGCCTGCAGTTCTCTTTTTTGGTTGGGTCTTTCCTTAGTTTTGGAATGAAAGTAACACTTGTTTCCAGAAGTGAATTTGGAAGTACTGCTTCCTTTTCAATTTCATTGAAACGTTTAAAGAGTAGTGGCAATAATTCTTCTCTGAATGAGTTGTAGAATTCAACAGTGAATCCAGGAGGACCTGAGCTTGTCTTGGTTGGTAAATTTTTAATTACATTTTCAATTTCAATGACTGTAATTGGGGTGTTTAGAATTTTTATGTCTTCTACATTCAGCTTTGGTAATTCATATGTATCTAGAAATATGTCCATTTCTTCTGTGTTCTCCATTTTATCAGAGCACAGGTTCTCTAAGTAAGTATTGATGATCCTCTGGATTTCTTGTGGATTTGTTGTGACTTCACCTTTTTCATTCCTAATTGCATGAGTTTGAGCCTTTTCTTTCCTTTTATTGATAAGGTTGTCTAATGGTTTATCAATTTTATTTATTCTTTTGAAAAACCAACTCTTTGGTTCATTGATTTTTAAAAAAATCATTCTCTTAGGCTTCATTGCATTTATTTATGCTCTGATCTTTACAATTTCCTCCCTTTCATAAGCTTTGCATTTCTCTTGGTCTTCTTTTTCTAGGAGTTTAAGATCAACCATTAGGTTGTTTACTTGAGCTTGCTCTGTTTTCCTCATTCACTGCTATGCATTTCCCACATAGAACTGCTTTCATTGTGTCCCATAAATTACTATATGTTGTATTGGCATTATCATTTATTTGTAAAAACTCTCCTTTCTTCTTTAATTTCCCCTGTAACCCATTGGTTGTTCAGGAGAGTGCTATTCAATTTTCATGTGTTTGGGAATTTCTTATGGTATTGATCTCCAGTTTAGTTGCACGATGGTCTAGTAATATACATGGGAGAACTTCAATTCTTTGCATTTACTTAAACATGTTCTATGAGCTAGCATGTGGTCTATTTTGGGGAATGACCTGTGTGCAGCCAAAAAGACTGTATATTCTGATTTTGTGGGTTCGAACATGCTGTAGACATCTATTAAGTCCATTTGTTCAAAAGCTTGGTTAAGTTCTAGTAATTCACTTTTGATTTTTTTTGTCTAGATGATCTATTTGTGACAATGGGGTATTGAGGTCCCTCACTACAATTGTATTAGTGCTTATTTGGTGTTTCATATCCCTTAATATTTGTTTTGTATAGTTGGGGGCATTAATATTTCTTGAATATATATTTATGATTGTCATCTCTTCCATAGATATTGTTCCCTTTACAAGGATGTAGTGAACTTCTTTTTCTCTCTTAATTAGTTTTGGTTTGAG